AATAGTTAGAAATAGTTTATAGAAGCAAGAATGTAGAGCTGGTTAGAAAATAAGGGATGGCAGACACTGGGTCTGGGATAGTGAGGGGAATGAAGGCCATAAAGGTAAGGGTTTGAGAACAGCCCGAGGACATTTGGCAGGGAGGTGATTAGATGTCCACAGGGCAAGAAGAAACCAGTTTGGGGGGATGCCCCCCCAAAAGGTCGGAAGTTTACAGCAAAAAAGGTCAGAAGCCTTCGTGAGGAAGACGACAAATCTTCATCCCACGACCCACTAAGCACATGCAAGAGGGGAGGGTCTGCATGCTAATGAACTCTTGGGGGTGTAATGAATATGTATCCGAATTCTGGGAAAACTATTGATTATGTATTAGTTCAGCCTATATCTGTAGCACGATTTTTCCAGACGGTGTGCAAGTTAGGCAGATCTATCCCCCTTGCACTCGGTGTCTGCGCAGCACTGAATAAACCGTACCTCCTTTGTAATCTTACTTGGGTTATAGAGTTTGATTCCGCACGTCAACCCCACCCGTAAGGGCCAGATCCCATGACTTCCGCTATGTATAGGGACAGGTACCCGGAATTGGAGCATTAACACTTTAACTCCCAGTGCACTACATGATGTTATGATGTGGATTACCGAAAACCAAAAAACACAAAACCATTACACTACACCAAGGGCAGATCGTGCCTGACAAATCTGGTGTCCTTCTATGATGGAGTGATGGCATTGGTGGACGGGGAGGGGTGATGAATGTCATCTACCTGGACTTCTGCAAAGCCTCTGACATGGTCCCTCACCACATCCTTCTCTTTAAATTGGAGAGGTGTGGATTCGAAGGATTGACTGTTCAGTGGATTAAAAATGGGCTGGCTGGACGCAGCCAAAGGGTTGTGATCAATGGTTCGGTGTCAGGGTGCACGCTGGTCACAAGCAGTGTCCCTCAGTGGTCGGTCTTGGGACCGGTGCTCTTCAACATCTACATCAATGACATAGACAATGGCATCGAGTGCACCGTCAGCAAGTTTGCAGATGACACCAAGCTGAGTGGTGCAGTTGATACACTGGAAGGAAGGGAAGCCATCCAGAGGGACCTGGACAGGCTGGAGAACTGGGCCCATGAAAACCTAATGAGGTTCAATAAGGCCAAGTCTTGGGCCAGGGCAATCCCAGGTGTTTATACAGACTGGAGGAAGAACCCCTTGAGAGCAGTCCTATGGAGAAGGACTAGGGGGTCCTGGTAGACGAGAAGCTGGACATGAGCCAGCAGTGTGCACTTGCAGCCTGGAAGGCCAACTATATCCTGGGCTACATTAAAAGAGGAGTGGCCAGCATGGAGAGGGAGGTGATTGTCCCCCTCTACTTGGCTCTTGTGAGGCCCCATCTGGAGTCCTGTGTCTAGGCCTGGGTCCCCCAGTACAAGAAAGACGCAGAACTCTTGTAACGAGTCCAGAGGAGGACCACTAAGATGATCAGAGGGCTGGAGCACCTCTCCTATGAAGAAACCTTGAGGGAACTGGGATTGTTTAGCTTGGAGAAGACTCTGGGGAGACCTCATTGTGGCCTTCCAGTACTTGAAGGGAGCATATCAACAGGAGGGGGAACGGCTGTTTACAAGGGTGGGGAGTGATAGGACAAGGGGGAATGGTTTTAAACTGAGACAGGGGAGGTTTAGGTTCGAGATTAGGAGGAAGCTTTTCACACAGAGGGTGGTGACACTGGAACAGGTTGCCGAGAGAAGTTGTGTCTGCCCCATCCCTGGAGGCATTCAAGGCCAGGCTGGATGTGGCTCTGGGCAGCCTGGTCTGCTGGTTGGCGACCCTGCACATAGCAGGAGGGTTGAAACTAGATGATCATTGTGGTCCTTTTAAACCCAGACCAGTCTATGATTCTATGATTCTGCTCCCTGCCCCTGAATACTTGGAACCAGGTACACATATGATAAAGTAGCCTTGGGAAGTACAAGTAGGACCCAAGTGGTGTGGCCTGGTTGCACCTTGTGGGAGACTGTTAGAAGCAGGGCAACAGTCATCCCACATCTAATTGGCAAATGGCCCTCAGAAATAATAGTGCAAACTCCAATTTTGGTAGCTAAGGGGACACTAGTCATATCATTATGGCAAACTGGAACCCCCAGCCTTTGGTACCTGATATAGTAACGCAACCATCAACATCAGAACAAAGGGTATGGTATAAGAGACCTGGCATGCTGCTGTGCAAGCAGAAATATTAACACAAGACAGAAATACCACGTGCATTCTACTGCGGATAGCAGTCTTGCCCATACTGGTACTGACTAAACACTTATTCTCCTCGTGAGATCTGTGGCTCACCAAGACCACCAGCAGAGGCAGACACAGCATAAGTGAACACCAATATGTCCCAGTGCCACTGAAGGATCTTCACAACATTCTGATTCTGTTCTTCAGTGACATCGAATGATGGATTTTCTTAACATTTTTCAAGCCAAAAAGAAGTGATTGACAACTCTGGACTCTTTATATCATAATGGGAAAAGTTGCTATATTAAATAGCATCTGTTACATTATAAACTGTACAGAATAGCTTGCCCCTGATATCTCAACCATTGGTTCAGGAAGTGAAGGGGTGGAGTGTATGAGAATTGCTAAGTCACAGCCTGAAGCAATGATTGACCACCTGGTGAAGGGACTGCCAGCCCTGGGAGCACAGGTGAAAGCAATTCACCTGCGTGACCAGAAGCTGGTTCCACCCCTCCTTGAGCTTCATTTAAGGGTTGGCTGTCACACTGGAAGGATCTCTACTTGAAGTTTCTTCCTTGTGGAGTATTTGGTAAGTCCTGTGCCTTGGAATGAATAGGCAAATCATTCTTACTTTGACTAGGTTGTGACTATCATTCTTTTTTTTGGTTATTTAGAACTGGTTATCTGCCATTGAATTTCTCTACCCCCCCCCATAATCACCCAGGGTGGTTTTGGTTTCCTTTTGGAATTTAGGCAGGGATAGTATTGCTCATTCATGCTATCAAGTATTAGGTTGTATGTTTCCATGTATGGTTCTTCACGCTACCTAGGAAATAAAGCAATCATGTTTTTGTTGTTTTCCTTACTCTTCTTGAAGTTATTTTGTATCAAAAATCTTGATCTGTAATTATGTGACTCCTACCATAGTTGTCCACAAACAAAAAAATACAAATTAAATTTACTTCATCCTTTTTAAAACTTCCATTTACAATCACTAAAACAGCAAGTGAATAACTTAAAAAAAAAAAATTGTACTTAGTATTTTTCTTTAAGTTCTAGTCTAATGCTAGTATCAGATTTCAAAGGCAGTTCCTTGAGAGCATCTACAGAAATAACTAATCTCTTTTTATAATAAACTATTGCAAACTGTTAAACAGATACATTTAAATAAGCAGTACTTCAGTCTCTAGTTCTTCACCTTGAAGACAAACTATATTTTTAGGTGAGTCAGAGAACTTAAATAAGTCAATGGAAAAATGTATTCCTGTGCCCCAGGGAATGCTCAGAAATCAATCCATTGTCATGCATTTAAAAAAAAAAAAAGTCACTACTTCCTATATCTCTGTTCTGAATTCAATGTCATCTGATGTTTTTCAGCTACATCTGATTTTTCCGTATAACAATCCACGTTAGTCTTCATATATTTATAATTTCCTTCTTTCAGTGTTTATAAGAGAAAAACAGTGTAAGTATTATAAAACCTACAGAAAGTTATTCCTTCTTTATTGCTCTCTGCAGTAAATCTTGTGGTAAACAACTTGGGGCAGCTACCACCTTCATTTTGTGTTCTTATCAACTTTCATTATATACTATTTGAGCCTCACCAAGTTTTTACTGAAAGTTGGTAAACTAACTTGGACAGAATTTGAGCCTAGGAGCGTGTTAGTAATTCCCCAAAACATATAATTAAAACTAGAAGCCTTTAAAGGTCAAGCATTTCACTGAGGAGCAGCTTCATAACCTAGGTATCAAACTATAAATTAAAAAAAAAAAAATACAAAAGAAAATCCACCCATGCTTCTTAAAGCATACAATCATAATTCAAAGCTGCTTAACTTTTATCTTGTTTTCCATTCAAAATTAAGGAGAGAATCTTCAGATAAATATATTTTACATATGTGTTTCAAGCCAATCCAGCAGTGGGCAATTAGTTTCCCAAAACATCAACTTACCACAATAAGTTTCTGAAGCTGTAATACCTAATGCTGCAAAACCCCTTGAGACTAATATGATTTCCACTATTTACTAGTTAGTTTGATTCACCTAGTGTGGGGGCTTCTAGTCCATCATCCTTCCAATAAGCCTTATAACTAGAGAATGGGCAAAAGAGCATTTACCTTCATGGAAGGCTGATATTGCAGCTAGCTTTTTTTTTTTTTTTTTTTTTTTTTCCTCCAAGGAGGATGTCTAGAGTCCAGACTGATTAATGTAGAAGATATTCAAGTAGCCTGCGTGTGGGATATGCATAGGTTAATAAGGTTCCCATTGTTTAGCCTCACACCATTGTCCATTTGAAGTTATATGAAGCAATTGCTGAACTACTTAGTTTAGAGGCTCTGACTTTTTCTCAAGACATGCTAGTTGTATCTCTACCCATTCAGAAGCCAAGCTGTATGTGAGAGAAATTTTCTATTGGAATGAAGAATAACCTGGTTCTAGGTGAATGTTCTGGAAAACTTGATTGTGTGACAGGCAGCGTACTCCATTTAAAAGAGTGAGTTTTCAGTACTGAGAATTCTTGAGTCTATGACAACTCTAATAAGGATTATTGAGGATAGAGCTGTATCAATAGCTTCTTTCACGAAAGGGGAAATGTTGCTTCTTGTCATTTTTTGTACACATTACCATGTTTTTACGTCCATAGCAAAAGAAATCCATCCCAAGTCTCATCGCTCTAAATGAAGCAATCTACACTTCTGACCAAAGTATCATTCATGTTTTAATGCAATTCAATTACTTTTTTCAAAAAATGAAAACTTTCCCCTTTCTTATAAATATAGAATCATAGAATGGTTTGAGTTGAAAGGGACCTTTAAGATCATCTCACTACAACCCCCTGCTATAGGCAGGGACGCCTCCCTCTAGACCGGGTTACTCACAGCCCCATCTGGCCTGGCCTTGAATGCCTCTAGGGTGAGGGCATCCACAACCTCTCTGGGTAACCTGTTCCAGTGTCTCATCACTCTCACAGTAAAGAATTTCTTCCTCTGCCAGTTTCAAGCTATTTCAATTTATCCTGGGAATATCAATTTCTATTACTAATACTTAAAAATACATCTTGAATGTCACAAATAAAACTCGTTTCTATTTTCCCCTCATGTACAAGAAGCTTCCTCTTATAAACAGCTTCCAAGACAACACTGAATTTTCTTAATTATGTGTAATAATCCAATTTATAGGGTGAAGAAACTCATTTACAGGAGACAAATGCTTCAGAAAAGCAAGTTACACTTAGTACATTTCAAATGCCTTAGTTACAAGTAACTACTTGCAAGTTAGATAAAACATTTTCTGCGTTTTTAATAAATACTGAGATTTTTATGAGATCAGTACATAAATTCTTTACAAAACTAGAAAATACAACTTAAAACTTACCTGTTATAATATCTGCCTCCCATCATAAACTGATTGTTTGAAGTTGGGCATATTTTAAAACGTTGAATGTTCTCACTGGTCCGAAAATAAAGTGAATAATCACCAGGTGTATTATCTGAAGGTCTTATAAGAAAACTGCACACCTGACCAACTGAAAAAATATCATAACAGCATTATTCAACTATTACTTATCTTAGTGTCATCTATGATCACTTATCAAAGTTGCTTCCATACATTTTATCAAAAACTGTACACTTAAAGTCTGAAATTCCCTTAGCAATCTCTGTTCTTCATCCAAATGGGGTGCAGTACTAAACTGTCAAAGTTGATGCAAAAAGCGGCTGTAACATACAACCTATCCACTGGTTTGCCACCCCTTTACAAGAGCATGGGTGCGGGGGAGGAAAAAATCAACAATGTTTTAAAAAAAGCTAAAATATTTTTATTCTAATATTTGAGCTATGATACTTGACTGTATGAGTCAAATCTTGATGTTTTCATTTAAATAATTATTTCTTCTAAGGTGACAAAAGTTTATAATAAATTATCCTATAAATTTAAAAGTATTTTCTCCTTGGTGTTTTGATGAACTCCAAAATATTACTTATAGATATATATTTAAAATACATTTAATAGTTTCACTCAAAATTTTAAAGTTAGCTATACTTGAGAACATAAAAATACTCAATATTCGTAGCCATGAGTTTTGTTTTTTGTCTATTCCACCTGTCTGATTCCCCCTAATATAACGTTGTACTGGAGCAGCAACCACAGGTCCAGTCATACGTTCATACAGAAAAGCAGGTTTTGATGCAGTTTGATATAAATAAGATTACTTTATTCCATTCCACTATCACTATTTCCACCTCAAATACAAGTACCTGTCATCAGCAAATTGTAAGCTTCTTGTTTGGAGATCTTTCCATGGAACCATCTGAAAGAGAAAAATAGAAAGCAAGGCTATCAGCACTAGTACATATTGATTATAACCAACCATTATCTTACTCAGAAATTCTGATCTTCTACTAAAAGAATGAAAACAAATATCACCTATTTAAATTCATTGCAATACAAGCGTCCAACACTTGAAATAGATGTTCAAGTCCAAGTTTGTTTACATGTTAAAAGGCATTAAATGCTGGATAATTTGACAAGCATATTTGAATTCAATCTCAGATGGCAATTTGAAGCAAAAAAATGTAAAGTCTATACGAGGAGATTAATGAAAGTTAAATACTGTACAGAACAAGGAGAACTGGATTTTGGTAGAAGCTGAAGAAATAACAATCTAGCTTTCTTAAACTAGTGAATATGCACTGCTTTAATCTCACATCTTGCATCTTCCACAGTCCTAAAAAACTTCAGCAGTGTCCATCCAGTCAACCTGATATATATGATTATATAGAACAGTTTTGAATAAAGGGCTAATTTGTTATATTGTTAAAATTGTAAAAGTAGTTGAGCATGAACAATGGGAAAGATATGGGGTATATCAACTGTAACCCGAGGAGCCTGCTGATTGGTCCAAGGCACCACATCCTAGAAATTGAACTAGTTGAAGTTGGAATACTTCCTCAAATGACACCAGGGTCAGAAGTAAACAGCATGGATGACATACAGCCTTCATCCCCGTGACTGCTGGAACAACCACCAGGAGGCACCACGCATGCATAGAAGCATTTGTTAGGGGTGGGGTTTGGGTTGTAGAATGCACATGGAATATTGTAATGAATTCCCCAAAGTAATTGTAATAGCCACTCCTTGTCTTAGAAATACTATGAATATGCATGTATTCCTTCTATAAATAAGGATGTTTACCTGCTTTTGGCATGCGGGCTAGGAAGGGGCTACCCCCCCTGCACCCAGCGTGTGTGTGCGGCACTGAATAACATACCTGCTCTATAACTACTTTGTGGTTATAGAGTTTGTTTCCGCAACTCAGTTTGACATTGCACAGGGGAGTGGAGTGGATGTGAGTTTCATTGAGGAGGTGGATTGGAAAATTCAAAGGAATCTGTCTCCCCAGGAATCCGCTCGACGACAAAAGTTCTAAGCATCTGCTACAAACTAATTTGTTGAAAGTTCCTGCATCTAAAGGTAGTTGTACTGTTATGCTGCTATGCCAATTCAACCAACAGAACATTAAGGAACAGCAAACTGAAACCACACACCAATTATTTTCTTTCTGCTGAGAGGTCTTCAGTTAGTTCTCAGTCTTGAAGACAGCAAACTAAGCAACTAACACAGGAAGCATCAGCTGTAATTATAGCAAGCATATGAAGTATACAAATGAAGTTATCCAGATACTAGATTTTTTTCTCTAACTTGCATTTGCTATTCATCTTTACTACTGAAAATAATATAACAGTTAATTATTTGTCATAGTATCAAACACTTTCATATTAAATAAAAATAAATTTGAAAGAGCTAATACAATTTAAGTATTTAACAAGTTGGAATTCACTGCAAGCATTATTTTATAGTCCTGGTCTTCTCTCAGTGTTAGCACGAAGTTAATATAGAAAAAGTGTTACTGTTACATTATCACCTCTCTAACAACACTTTATTTCCTCTCCTGCATTTTAAGTTAAGCAGACCTGAAAAAGGTTACTTCTAAGGAAAGCTGTACACGTATAAAAAACACAAATGAGAAAACACCACAATCTCCATTGCACATTGCAGTGGAAATGCCAGGTCACAGCCTGAACCAGTAGGTGAGCACATGAGTGCCTGGAGTGGGGGATGGAGGAGGGGGGAGCCCAAGATCCACCCTTCCTCTCTCTCCCCTTTGGTGGTGCTTCTGGCCGTGCTTCTGGGAGCACACATGCACTTCGAGCCTGCACGAGTTGCCCCCCCACTCCCTGGTGTGCCAGAATTCAAACCGGAGAAGGCTGCATTCCTCATGTACAAGATGTCTACTGCCCCATGTCATGGTTTTGTGTTTTTTTGGTTTTCAGTATTCCACATCAAAACATCATATAGTGCACTGGGAGTTAAAGTGTTAATGCTCCAATTCTGCGTACCTATCCCTATACATTACGGAAGTCATGGGATCTGGCCCTTCCGGGTGGGGCGGTCTCTTACTGCCTTGCAGTGAGTGCTGGAGGGTGGTTTCCTAGCCATTCCAAGCTTTTCAGGTTTGACACAGTCTCAGGAACTCACTCTCTACTATTTTATTTCATTTATTAGTCTCAATTTCAATTCAATTGTATTATATTGTGTTATCTTGCATTCTGATATCATAGTAAAATAAGTTTTCCACCACAGATTGTTGCTGCTGATTTCTTTTTTCCTTCCTTGAGCCCAGCTCCCATCTCCCTATCCCTTTTCCCGTTCCCTTCCCATTTTGTGGGGTCGGGGGGGCCCATGGGCCTACTTCCCCCTGTCGGGGGAAAGATTGATCTAGTTAATTCCGTGATACCCCAACTCCAGAGTATATATTGGGGATAGACATCCTGTCAGGTCTGACTCTCCAGACCACTGTGAGAGAGTTCAGATTAAGGGAAAGACCTATTAGTATCCAGGCAGTGCAGAAAATTATAAGGGGCCTACATTCCAACTGAAAAGGAGATCTTAGCCGCGTATGAGGGGGTTTGGGCTGCTTCTGAAGAAATCAGTACTGAAACACAGCTCCTTCTGGCACCTCGACTGCCAGTGCTGAACTGGATGTTCAAGGGAAAGGTTCCCTCCACCCATCATGCTACTGATGCCACTTGGAGTAAGTTGAGTACACAACAAGCTCGCATGGAGAACCTCAGCTGTCCAGGAATCTTAGAGGTGATCATGGACTGGCCTGAAGGTAAAAAGTTTGGAACATCACCAGCAGAAGAGGTATCACATGCTAAAGAGGCCCCACCATACAATGAACTACCAGAAAATGAAAAGAAATTGGCCTTGTTCACAGATGGATCGTGTCGTATTGTGGGAAAGCATCGCAGATGGAAAGCTGCTGTGTGGAGCCCCACACAAGTTGCAGAGACCACTGAAGGGAAGGGAGAATCAAGCCAATTTGCAGAGGTAAGGGCTGTCCAGGTGGCCTTAGATGTTGCTGAATGGGAGAGGTGGCCAATGCTTTATCTTTACACTGACTCATGGATGGTGGCAAATGCTCTATGGGGGTGGTTACAGCAGTGGGAGCAAAATAACTGGCAGCAGAGGGGTAAACCTATTTGGGCTGCTGAACTGTGGAAAGACATTGCTGCCCGAATAAAGGATATGGTTGTAAAGGTGTGCCATGTAGATGCTCATGTGCCCAGGAGTCGGGCTACTGAAGAACAACAAAATAACCATCAGCTAGATTGAGCTGCCAAAATTGAGGTGGCTCAGATAGACCTGGACTGGCAGAACAAGGGTGAATTATTTCTAGCTTGATGGGCCCATGAAATCTTGGGCCACCAAGGAAGAGATGTAACATACAAATGGGCTAGAGACCAAGGGGTGGACTTAACTATGGATGCTATTGCTCACGTTATCCATGACTGTGACACATGCACCACAATTAAACAAGCCAAGAGGATGAAACCTCTCTGGGGGGAAGGGCGATGGCAAAAGTATAAATATGATTGATTATATCACCTTGCCATGATCTCGCAATGGTAAGCGTTATGTGCTTCCCATGGTGGAGGCAACCACTGGGTGGCTTGAAACATATGCAGTACCCCATGCTACCGCCCAAAACACCATATTGGGTCTTGTGAAACAAGTCCTGTGGTGACATGGCTCTCCAGAAAGAACTGAGTCAGATAATGGGACTCATTTCAAAAATTCTCTTGCAAATACTTGAGCCCTGTTCATGGAATTGAGTGGATTTATCATACCCCCTATTATGCACCAGCTTCTGGTAAAATTGAACGATACAATGGGTTGTTAACAACCATGTTGAAAGCAATGGGTGGCGGAACATTTAAGCATTGGGAGAAACATTTGGCAGAAGCCACCTGCTTGGTCAATACTAGAGGATTGATCAATCGTGATGGTCCTGCCAGCTCCCTGTATACTGTCAAGGGAGATAAGGTCCCTGTATTATATATAAAGAACATGTTGGGAAAAGCAGTTTGGGTCTTTCCAGCTTCTGGGAAGGGCAAACCTCTTTGTGGAACTGTTTTTGCCCAGGGACCTGGGTCCACTTGGTGCGTGATACAGAAAGATGGAGATGTTCAGTGTGTACCACAAGGGAATTTGATGTTGGGTGGGTGCAGTCAGTAATTCCATGTATATATATTTATGTGTGTGTGTGTGTTTAATCTTTGGTAATTATGGTTTGTTTGTATATATTAAGCATGATGTAGTGATGTGGAATATGGGGTGGAATGTCATCGTTTTATGATTTTTGGTTATTGGTATTACACATCATAACATCATGTAGTGCGCTGGAAGTTAAAGAGTTAATGCTCCAGTTCTGGACACTTGTCCAGAAGACAAGAAGAACTACATTCCCCTGAAGACTGTTCGCTGTTCTGTTATCATTCCTGCTGTGGGGGAACAGATATAAGGCCTTGGTAGGTCAACTGACATCCCTCTTTTCGTCAGGCTCTCTCTTTTCGATCGTCAGGCTCTCTCGCTGCTTCTCGTCCCAACCACACGCCATTAGTGTAAGGCCTTCAGCTTTTTTGGACACTCTTTCTCTCATTTTATTTGATTTATTAGCTTCGATTCTAATTATATTGTATTATAGTGCGTTATCTTGCATTTCGATACCCTATTTAGTAAATTAGTTTGTTTCTCCTCAGATCGTTGCTGCTGTTTTTAATTATTTTGGGGCCCCCTGTTTCCCCTTTCCGGAGGCATGGATCTGCGGATCCCTCCGCCCTACTAGTCACAAAACTGGATATATCATTGACAGGGGCAGTGCAAAAATTGAGCCTATTTGTTTGCCTCAACCACACCGGATCTCAAATACTAAGCAGTGTAGACTCCCAGTTGGGCAAGAAGAAA